CCTCGAATCTCATGCACGGAGGGGGCTGCAACACAGCACGTGTGCTCGCCTCTCAGCACTTGTCCGCCTGCACTGCGACTCGCCGTGCCGTCGGTGGCTTAGGGCACAATCAATCACTTCTGATGCTTCAACACCATCGCTTTGGGCATCTCGAAAGATACTGCACTGCATCTTCGCCCGCCCGCCGTCCAGGCTGGGCAGCGTCCTGGCCGCCGACAAGGGATGGATTAATCCTGGCCTCGCCCATTCCGCCGGAACCCGACGCAGCTTCAGTGGCGATCCCTGGTCGAATCCGTCCTCTCCTAGAGGCCTCAGCCGAACTTGGCGCCGCAATAACTGCCCAAATGATCAATCTCACTCTGCATGATGAGCTCCTTGCAGAAAACCGTGCGTCCAGTCATTGCAGCACGACACCACAGGTGCTGCAAGCCAAAGCACCGTGCACACAATAGCCTGACTATTCCCCTGGCAATGGCCGGCCTGGCCACCGTCGCTGCTCCTTGGTCGAACACAACCTCCCCTCCCCCCAATTACCTGTCATGCGTGGTCCCGTCATGCCTGTCTCTCACTCGTTACCGTGGGCCATACGGCAATGTGGTTCTGGCAGACGCCGAGCTGATGCAGGTGGGTGCTCTCCATACCGCCTGCATGGAGTCAGCGCCATTCTACGTGGCCGCCCCAGCGCCTTGCTTACTCTGGTCATGGGAACTGCAATCCTCTCAACAATATCAGATTATCCACTCCTGAGGGAAATGATTGGCAGGTGCCCATCCCAGCGACTGGGTTGTTACAACGTTCCACCGCATGTGCACACTGCACTGCACTCGCTGAGCAAATGACCAAACCGCCTTACTACAGCACTCGAGCTCTGATCTCGTCGCTCTTGCTGGGTTGGGTCAACAAATGGCGACGGCTGGTGACAACTACAACATTCAGGCTCGTGACTTGCGAAGCCTGTCGTGTTTGCATCCTGCACACCCGGACCGTCATGTCCCGCCCCCAGTTGCACAAGCGGTGGCTTCAGGAGTCCTGCAAAACACCCACACCGGAAACCACTCACACCCAAGACATCCATCGGCTTGCCTGCTGGATCGTGCGCCCTGTGTTTCCAACGCACCGGGATCGATCTCGCTTGGGTGTAGTGCGCCACTTTTGCCGTTTTCGGAATACCCTATGGCGAGTCCCGCAAATCAGCGCAGTGCATTAGCCAGAAAGGCAGGAGCCTGACCGCATGACTTGTATCAACGGTGCATGTATATGCGAAAGGGAAACGAGAAGTCCAGAGTCGGATTGTCGGGAAGACGGGGGCTACCCAGGGATCGTGCATTGGGCGCGACTTGACCCAGCAGGCTGGTCAGCCTAGCTATGATAGGAGCATTGCCGATGATGCTATTGTGCATGGCACCCGAATACAGCAAGGACTCGTTTTAGCCGCTGCACGAGGCTCCCTCACCTTTAATCTTTTTAGTGCTGGGGGAGCTCGCGGACAGAGATCAAGCCCAGGTGTGCTTGTTGAGGTCGTGGCGAGCATCGCGCATCACCTCACCACCTTCTTACCCCGATGAACAAAGACAGGCGCATGCATAGTGGTAGCAGACCAGATGGACAATCACCGTCAGAGGCCTGCTGCCGCGCAAACTTGACCAAGTCACCCATAATTGGCAATGCACGAAGGCAAAAAGCCTGGTTCAAGACTGACAAACACGCTGGCAAGCTGTCGGTGTGCGCAACTCCCTGATGGCTTAGGCACGGCAAATACCGAGATCCACATGGACACGTGAATGGTTTCCTTTTGGTTTCCCTCGTCTGGTCTCGCGGTCGGACAACGGAACGACGTTGTTGAGTCCTGCGGGACTGGCCGCGCCTGGACAATCAGAAGCAACGTCCACGCCCAAGTCTTGCTGGTCAGTTCCGTGATCCGCTGTAAACTCAATCGGAGATGCGACCCACGATCTCCCAGATGCCAGCACTGGCGGCAGGGCATAACGGTATGCCCGCAGTCTGGGCAGTGCGCCGAGATCGATCGCCATGTATTCGAGCATGTGCTGTACCATGCTTCACAGGATGCACACTTTGCAGATGCGGGTCTTCACCCCTTGGGCGTTCTGACGAGTCACATGCGACCATCAAGTCCATTTAGTGATCCCTATAACAAGAGAGAGCCCATGGCAGCACCCCGATCGAGGGGTTGGTATCACGATATACTTTTGCTCCTTGAATCCCAAGAGGGTAGTAACGGCGCTCGCAACATTATCTTCCGAGATGGCACAGAATGGCCAGCTCGGTGTCTGACAACTTGGCCGTCACCACTGGAACCTCCCGTTTGAATCCTTCCCGGGGCAGAGACATGGAGAGCAAGTACCGCAACACATTCTTCCCATTGCCATACCTTCCACAGCGCACCCACTTTGGTCCAAGCACCAACTCTCCCAGGGCTCCCGGGCTCCCAGTCTCCCAGACCGGTAAGTGATGCCAGCTTTTGCAGCCTCTCTACCGGCCCATTAGTCCGACATGGCAAATGAAGGACGGTCAGTCGACCATCAATATTGCATCACGAAGCCGTCAGCTTCACTAGTGCAGTGTTCCCCCTAATGCCTCCGTTCAATGAGGCATCGACTGACAAGAAGCTGGCCCCAACACGGATAAGAAGACGTGTTCGCCCCCAGCCCTGTGCCCGTGTTGTGGGGGATCTGCAGCCATTTTCCCATCCGCTGTGTAACTGCGTTTTACACCACTCCAGATCAGCCGTGCCTTCTCTGCATGGCCATCACTACCGGTGGACATAAAATTGCATCGCGACTAGAGAAGCATCGGCGACACGTATCAAGGTCCATCGGGGCCTCGCGGTGCAGCCTACGATCCTCACCTTGCCTCTCCGCCGCCAAACCCTCATTTGTTGATCGTGATCTCAAATGGCAAAAGCATGTGAGAAGTTTCGACGGTACACATACACGCACCTAGGGACGTTGTACGTGAAGAGACACGGTACAGCCAGACGCCGAATTAGGACCCGCTGCTCCAAAGCCCTCTGCTTCGAGTTTGTACTGGCCTCCCCACTGGACCTGGTCTCGGCGGCCGCGTGGGGTGTGCAGCAAGATTCATGGAGTTCTCCACTATTGTACCTTGTCTACACGTGCAGACAACTGCATTCCCGCGCCTCGCGTGCGAGTTACCAGCGTTCTTGGTGGTCTTGATAGCCAGGCACCTCCCCGTTTTCATCGCCAGACGCCCCCCGATTGGAATACATCCTAGTGACAAGTTAAGACCCCGGGCGCAGAAATCGGGTCCGGTCAGTTGGGAGCATTGGCTCCCTTTGCACATCTACTGTCTTCCATAGGCCAGCAAGGGGACTGCGCACTGCCCTGACCTCGTCAATGTCAGAGCAACAGTAAGCTGGAGCTGCTCTTACAATGTATTTCTGCCACGAAGGTCAGGTCTCGTTCGTGCTGATGACGGCTCTACATCGCAACGTAGTGGTGAGTAGGCTCAGCGTCTGCTCCTGGAATTTTCTTTGCGCCCAGACCCACCCTTTGTCTATTCATACCTCCCACGGTGCCCTTCCGGCGAGGTTCCTGCCCAATCGTGAAGGGCGGGTCAAGTCTGTGGCATGGTGATGGGCAGTCATTCCTCCTCGGCTCCTGTTCGCGGTTCGAGGCGGGATGCAGCCAGGCATATCCTGACCCAGGACGGCGGCTCGGCGGGAATACCCAGCAGACCTGTTCCCTGCATGGAGCACAGTGGGGACTGGGTCGAGCACCCATTGACGGCACCGCGCCCCGCGTCTCGCGGATCGTGAGCTTCAGAAAAAGTCTGCTCGTGGGAATCTGGATGGCCGGAGCACGGTTTGCAGCCGGTCTGTGCCCAGGCAGTTCGGACCGGTAGGCTACCCGAAGAGCAGCGCAAGCGATCTGAAGCAAGACTCGGCGGGGATCAAAGTTCCGGGCCAGCATCAGGTGGCTTTCTCCAGCTGGCAGCAAAGGTCGTCATCCATATTGGGTCTGTTCACCACCTGGGAGGGAGCCCCAGAGCTGTGGGAGGGGGGGGGGGCCATGGTTGATCTGCTGACAGCATGGAAGTAATGGGCACGGGTCGCCACTTGGCCTTTTCAGGGCACATCGCCATTCCACATTGGCCTCTGTCGACGTCGCCCTCGCGCTGGCAAAGGCCTGGGGTTGGCTGCGGCTCCACATGGCGCGACCGGTGAGCAATTCGCCGTTTTGCCTTTTGACCGCTTGACCGGTGCAGGCAGGGCCGACAACGAGCGAGCCGACCACATGCATCTCTCTGTGCCCTATCCGGCTACCGGTGAGGGAGGGTCCCAGCGCAGGGCAGGACGCAACTCGCCAAATCGTCTGGTTTCCTGCAGGCCACGGTCCTGGTTCCCATCTGCCAGCGGCTCAAAGAGGAAAGGGGGGTGGGCGCTGCAAGTCGGCGAAGGTCGGGAATGGTCCCAGGGCAAACATGGATAGGCCGAAGCCAGGGGGGTGGTTCCCCCTTCCGCCCACTGCGCCGAGTCGCCAGCCTCCACTTCGTCGTTGGAAGTTTGCACGATTGATTTCTAGCTCTCATCCACCCTCTGGTCGCGTCTTGTTTGCCTCGCTGTCGGTCGGCCGCCTGCTTGATCTGGGCACCCTCGCTCCCTCCCTCACCGGACTGTGCGCGGTACGTTGCGCAGTCTGTCACTGTACCTGTCGTATGTCCTTCCTCGACGGCGCCGCCAGTATCAAAAGGGCCTCGGTCAGCCCGGCATCTTGCTCACACGACACGCGTCAACTGCACGAGCACGTATGGCCACAACAGGGAGGAAATGATCCGCCTCACGTTGCTCGAAGGCGTGCCTAGCCGGAGTCACTCCACCCCCGACACCCATGCCGATAGTGGGCGTTCTATGCCCATAGCCGGGTGCACACAAACGTCGCGGTGCTGACGCCCAAACTCACGGCCGGGTTTCAACAGCTCGTGGTGCCTTTCTCATACGTGAAAAAGCAAGCAGCTGCGTCCTACCGCGAACAGGGCTGGCCCATCGAGAGAATCCCGAGCCCAGTCCCGCCGTTGTTTGCCCTCTTGATGCAGTTGATCTTGTTGCTGTTGTTGTTGTTGTTGTTGTCGTCGTTGTCCAACCGGTCTGACTGTGAAGTCATTCCCTCGGTCCAGACACCTTGATTCATCCCATCGCCTCGCGGCGTGAAATCAGGCCATATCTGGAGGCTGGCATACGAGGTCAGGCATGACCCTCGGCATCTGCAGAACTTTCTGTGATAGATGCTGCACTTGCTTGCAGAGGGTAACCCATACTGCCCTGTCCGACTGAGATGGACAGCGGCCGATTGATCGGAGGCCTCACCCCATGTAGAATCGTACAGTCGAGCAAATTCCATGCCCTTGTTCTCGCACTTGCAGACGCTCACGGTTGATCTCCGGCCCTCTTCTGTCCACTTGGGCAACGCCTTTTGCGACTCGCTCGTGAGTGGGTTGGCAGGGTTGGCTTCAAGTATCGGATTTTTCGGCAGGATAAGACTTGCCGCAAAACCTCTCTGCTGCCCCAAACCGTGGCTTTCCCGGCGCATTGCCCCCCGGGTAGTCAGTCTGTAGTCTCGATCCTTGGTCTACTCGTAGCAAGCGGTTGGGCGCCGTGTTAAATATTGGGGCCAGGTCTGAGACAGCCCCGTACTCCGGACCCGTACCGGGGCCGAAGGCGGCCTGCTCCTATGCACATGTGGACCCTTGTCATGCCCTAATACCACCTCAAGCAAAAGCAATCAGGGCAGCGGCGCGGTCGGCCTGTGACGACCAAAATCATTCGAGTCTACCGCAGCGGTCTACCTGCGGCCTCAAGTCACTGGGTACTGTGACCAGACAGTCATGTATGGCACGACGTGGGCAGTGATTGTGCTGGGCAAACCGGGTTGAACAGAGGAGTGATGGACCCTTGAGCTTCCGAGTTCTTGTTCAAAGCGACCAGTTAGTTGAGTGACGACGGAGCCGACATATCTGGGTCGCTTTTCAAAGTTCTGCAGACCTCGCTCCATACTCAGGCTGCCTCTGAAACGCAGTTGCCAGAGTTTTGGGAATCATCACTGGCGCTTGAGACGAAGGCCCATATTCATGCGTACAAACTCATCCTCCCAGAGCTGCATATCACCGACTCTGCCACCACCACAGACCAGGTAAGCAAACATTCCAAAGCACTCCTTTCCTGGCGCTTCTTGTTCGCATTGCCGTCGAGCATTACTGTGCTGACAAATTACACATCAAGCCTAGGAAGGGAAGGAGGGCCAGCACTGTGGCTCCAGCGCGCACAACATTCCTCACATCTTCGCCCACGCAGGACGTCAAGTCGCAATAGTTCAGCAGTGACACAGACCCTTGTCAGCTCTTCACCAATACCTCAGACATCCGATCGTACGTCCTGAACCCTGTGACATCTCTCCTCGAGGTATCTGCTCCCTCAAAAGCAGTCCCGGTGCGCCCAAGGTAAGCCTCAGCCTGTCCCAGCCCCCCCCCCTCCCCCGGTGGAATACGGTCGAGCGGGTGGTCTTTGATGGTGGGCCTGCTATTAGAGACGCTGCCAGTAGAATGCTCGTCAGTGGGAGGACCTCCACCTGGATGGTGGGACACTCCCTGGTGGGATAGCCAGCGTTTAAGTCTCGTGCGGGCTGGGGACAAAGATCACAGGGGCCCTTCGAGCAGAGCCCTAGCCCTCCCATGTCATCTTGGAGTCACCCGCAAATCCTGACCACGTCCTTCAGGCCCAATCACACCAGCCTCCCCTGTACGATCGGGTTGAGCACCTGCAGGGGAACACTGGGGCCAGGACGTCCAACGACTCGTATCCCACCCACCTCCACCACCCAGCTTCCCCGGAGACACCAAACCAGGTCCTCGGGGCCGCTGGGCTGCTTGCTAGACATCTCCTATAGGCTGTCTCAGATTGGCACGCCTGCGGTTCGGCACGAACCTTCCGACTCAGGCCCGGCCTGTCAGATATCAGCTTTGGATCAAGCCCAGCCTTCTGGGCCTTCGTGGGAAGTACTTGGAAAATACGGCCCGAATCCTGCCTGGCACGCAGTCTTTGATTTTACCAGCACAAACATCGTCCACGGCCGCTCGTTTATTCCCCTGGACGCATATCGCCTCCAACGGCGCAGACAGCCACCACTAAACCCGCACAGTACTGCCCTTTTTCCAGGGAAAGGAACAGGCCTGCCATAGACCAGGGGCCGGATTCGATATGGATTTGACCTCGGAGGCGATCCACGACGTGATACACCCGACAGCCATCTACGAAGTGCCAGCCGACCGCCTCGTGCCAGTCGCAGACCAGACCGACCCGCTCGAACCGGCCTGGGAGGACTCGCAACTAAACATTAAAAACCGAATCGACAGCACCGCGCCTTTGCGATCAGCACTCTGGAGCATAGATGGCGGTGCCGGGCTGGGAACACAATACTTCGCGGTTGCTACTTTCATTGAAGATGCCCCCCCAATGCGCTTCGATGTCTTCATATCCGAGAAGGCCACCGAGTCGCGGCTGATACGACGGCTCCTAGACCTGGACGATGCCTTCCACGCCCGTGACCGCAACCGAGTCCAGCAGCAAGCCATCGCCGCTTACCTCGTGAGGGCCCTGCAGATATGGACGACGGAAGTGTACGGGCTTGAGAGGGTCAGGGAGATGTACTACAACCAGCCCTTCGGGACCCGAATCGTTTTTGAGAGCCTCCCTCTGAACGTCCGAGATGCCAAAATTGTCATTGGTCCAATGCACAATCTCGAGTACCACCAGCTCTCCCCTCGGGAGTTGGGGAAAATGTGGCAGATGGGCGTGGATCAAATGCCGCCGACTGTTGACATCTTCAGTCTGGTATACGTTAGACAGTTGCAGGACAGTGTGTGTCTGGTCAAATACCGTGGAGGTGAGGAGGGCACAGAGGCGCTCTGGGCGCTGAAGGCCCTCATCAGCAGCGTGAAGTACATGTACCACGAGCTGAGAAACCTGCTGACCATGCCACCCCACCCGAACGTGCTCGGCCGACCGACCAAACTAGTTACGAAGAAGATACGTTCCAACGCCCGGAGGACGGTCGTCATTGGGTTTCTAGAGCCATACTACTCCGGGATCAACCTGCGGGACTCGCTGCCGGTGCTACGGATGAACAACATGCTCCGCCTCGAGGACCAGATCCGCTGGGCCAAGCAGATATGCTCGGGGCTGGTCCACATCCGGCACAAGGGCAACATTTACTACGCGGACATGCGGCTGGACCAGATCGTCATGACGCACGACAACACGCGGCCGGTGATCCTCGACTTCGAGCAGCGGGGCGTGTGGTGCGAGTTCGCCTCTCCCGAGGTCAACGCACTCGAGTACATGCGCATCCTCGCCAGCGACGACTACGACGACGACGACGACGACTTCGGCGACGACGGCGGGGACGGCGACAGCTACGTGACGGTCCCGACGGCGGCGGAGACGGCCCAGCTCCGCAACCGCGCCCTCCGCGCGCGCTACGCCGCGCTCCTCAGCCAGCTGCACCCGGGCTGGCGCGACCTCGGCGGTGCCGACGGCCACTACCACAACCCGGCGCACGGCTACAACGTTGCCTGGGCGTGCCTGACGCCCGCGGAGCAGGAGCGCGCCGAGGTCTACATGCTGGGCCGCCTCCTGTGGTGTGTCTTCGAGGGCATGAGCGCCCCGCAGCGCGGCGCCGTCTGGCAGTCGTACCGCAACGAGCCCGAGTTCGAGTTCCCGGCCTTCGCGCGCACGCCCCCGGAGCTCAGGGGCCTCATCGAGCGGTGCACGGCTGGCAGGAGGCCGCAGCTCAGCGGCCTCGTCGTCCGCAGGGGGAGCAAGCTCGAGATGCGCGGCGACACTGCCGACGGGCCGCCGGGGCTTGAGTCATCGGAATCGATGCAGCCTGCGGAGCAGCATATAAAACGTAACAAGAGCCCGGAGGCTAAGATCCGCATGATACGCCAGGTTGCTGCCGACTTCTGGGGGGAGGAGATCGCCTGGGCTGAGGACTTCTTGCTCGATAGGGAGAGGAGGATGAAAGACGGGACTTGGAATGAGAACATATTCGGCCGGCCTTCGCTTGGGGAGGTTGACGGCGCGCTGGCAGCTTTCCAGCTCAAGGTGCTAGGAGAGTGAGTGAGTTTTGAGTGAGGGTGCTTTTGGCTTTTTTGGCGGCGGGCCCTTTTTTTTTTTTTTTTTTTTTTGTTGGGAGTTCAGATTTTTTGGAGTTTTGGAATCTGGGAGCTAATGGTCCATAGAGGAGAGGGTTCGGCGGAAGCTGGCGTACAGCCTGGTGCTTACGAGCGCTCTGCGCCCTCCCCATACACGTGAACAGTCAGCATTGCTTTTCATCGACACTTGAACCAGCATAGCCTGAGCGACGCTATCACCAAGAACATAGAAAGACTTCAGAAGGTATTGAACAAGTAGATTTGATTGGAGACATTCCTCACTGTCAAGATGCTGGGGTATCTGAGTATCATTTGTGAATGATTATTATGGGTAAATACAGCATCGACGGGGGAAAGAAAACCTGCGTCTCTCGTGTAACAATACAGACCTGAAATATTGAAAGTCGAAATCAGTCTATGCGTCGCTCCTCCTCGTAGTCACAAAAGAAAACCTCTCACAGTGACAAACCGGACCAGCACGGTTGCTCCCCTGTTTCTGACCTTTACTTCTCATGTCACTTCACCCTCTTGGCCCCGCCCTCTCTCCCGTTTCCGCCGCCTCTGCTCCGCTTGTTGCCCGCCGTATTGCCACCGCCCCTTCTACTGGGTACGGACGTGTGCGCATCTGGGTTTGGGGCCGGCCGAATGCTCCTCATGCGCAAGATGAGATCCCTGAGTCGTCCCATGTACCCTGCAGGCGGGGCATACGCGCTCAGGTGGTCCTCGATCTCCTCGAGCGTCTCGATCCACTGGTTCTGCTCGGGCAGCTGAGCGAGGACGTCAATTACAAATGCAGATGACCCATGTGTCTGCCCTCCGATGAGTCGATGGTAGAGATTGCTCTCATTCAAGGTCGGTGCTGTTGCGGTCTGTGTAGGTAACGAGGATGCGGCGACAGGGCTGTCTGTTGAGGTGATGCTGGTGGGGGAATAGGTGACTTCACGGTTCCAGTACAGCACAATGACATGCAGGATCCCCACAAGTGTTCGAGCTGCGCTGGCTCGTTCTATGGGAGACGATGGTGCGTCAGACCTGTTTTGTAAGACAGCCTGGATCGTAGACACGGCCCTCTCAATATGCGCGGCCGCCCACGGAACATCCGGATTGCCCTCCGTGGCGCTCTTGCCAATTGATGCCCCGGACGGGTCATGAGAAAAGGCGTCCAGATCGCCAAGTACGCGGTCGACGCGCTGCTGAATCTTTCGAAACGGATCGCGGGCTTTGGAGCTCGGCTCGAGAAGTCTCCAAAAGTAGGCAAAGAACTCCTTATTCGTCATAAGCATATTCGCCACCGTATGGGTGAGGTCCTCATAGCAAACCAGTGCGTCTTCCTCGGGAACTGCTTGCAAGTTGTCGAAAATATCAGGCCGGAAGCGATCGCAGGCGTAATCATCAAGATCGGGGTCCTCCACAGACGCCAGGATCTCGCGCACCTCCTGTAGGTGGGCTGGGTTGACCTCGGCCGTGGAGTCAGGAGATCTAATACTACAATGTAAACTAGTGGCCAGCTGGTCAAGGTGGAAATCGGAGATCCTCTCGAAAGGGTGGCCCATCTCGGTTGGGTATCCATCTGGTCCAAGGTGTTCTGGGGACCCAGAGTCATGGCCAGCCGTGTGATAGTTGACCTGGTCTAGCAAATAAATCAAATGCTTGCAGGGCCTCTCACTGTCCCCCATGCAGAAACACTTTGGCTTGCGATATTGGCTTTTGGGAGAGCCTACGCGGATCGATCTGCGTGCGCGTACGGTTTCGAGTATTTCAAAAGCGTAGAAGTGGCTGTCGTTCTCGACGTGTGACCGGCACCACTGTAGGACGAATTGCGATGGCTGCTGGTCGGGCTTCGCGCGGAAGAGTTGTCTGACCCCCTTCTGGGTCTCACGGTCAAGATCCGAGATGTCGTAGCTGATATCCGTGGTGGGCGAGCGGACGACCACCGAAGCTTCCTGGCCGTCGTCATCATCCACTGACGCATCGCTGCCGTCGGATTCCTGGTCGGAGTCCTGACCGGAGTTGGACTCCCGCTGGCTCTGGGAACGGGTGGTTGGAGGCATGCTTTCAAGTGAAAGCCGGCTAAACTTGGAGACGGGGGCAGATGAAGACATCAATATGCTCGACAAAGACGAAACAACTTTGAGTCGGCCCAATCCAGCTTGTGGCAAGGAGGCGGCAGCTATATACCGGGCAGGCCTGGAGGCAGGCCCATCAGGTACCCCGGTAGATTGACAGAGCCCCCAAATCGAGACGAGGCCAGCCTGTGTTGGTTGATGTGGGACGGGATGGGATGGCAGACGTGTTGGGGGGGGAGGGGGGTGAAAGTAGATATGTGCAAGAGTCAAGTCAGAGCATGGGGTCCGGCGGATCTGAGGCTGGTATCCTTGCACATCCCAACCGGGTCCCGAAGACAGCTTGTTGATCCTCCAAGGTCACGTCGACTTGATGCCCACCACGGCGCCGCGGCAACACTTGTGTGGAGGTTGCGGTGGCCTCGAGACCTTGCAGGCTGCACCTTGCAGCAGAGACGGCGACACGGCTGCCGTTGGGGCAGACTGGTAATCTGAAGAGGCACAGCCGGCCAAGAGCATGGGCTCCTTGCCGGGAGACGATATGGAAGGGGAAGGGGGAGGATGGATCTTGGGCCAAGAGGAGCTGTGATGATGCACTAGATCAAGCAATTGCTACCATGGCGGCAGGTGCCTGGCCCAGAGACAGAGCCCCCCGGACTGCAGCAATAAGGAGGGCCAGGCAAGTAGCGGCCAATACGTGTTGAGAAGAAGGCTGTTGCTGTGTTGGGCATGGCTGGGCAAAGAGTAGACGGGGGTGTTCACGACTGCACCGGTAATAACAGACAGAAATCCATCCACGGCGTGCACGATGGGAGACGGCACAGCCCCCGGGTCGAGTGGTACATGGATTCTCGGTCGAGTGGCCATGTCAGCTCCCAACAGCCGCGCTGGCGCAGTAGACGAGCCTTGCGAGAGACAGGCGCGGTCTGGCACTGCGACTCTGTCGGCCACGGGGAGCTGGCGTGGTGTGCAGAACGCTCGGGGCAGCCTTCGATGGGGTTGGACAGCTGCATCTCGGGGCCTGAACTTCGTTGGCCGGCTCGCACTGAGAGGTCGTGTGACGGTCGGCGAGGTGGGCATGTCTGCCGGGGCTGATCTGAAATCTCTGTGGCGTCTACTGTCCATGCCGTGGTGATGTGCTCGACGGTCCTGGTGGGAGAGCTGGGTGAGGTTGTTGGTGAATGCGGTGGACAGAGGCAGAGCAGGGATGTTGATTGGGTAGGATGCGGTGCGTCTCATTGTTGCAACCTCTCCGTGCCACTGCAGAAGTGATGATTGATCCCTCTCGCACTCAAAAAGGCACGCAGTCGAATGGACCAGCAAAAAGACTCGGGGCAGGAGCCTGAGCCTGACCTCTGACCCCAACCCCCAACGGTGACTGACAAGACTCGAGGCACATCTGACCCGTGCAACCACAGCACGACCGGAAGGAACACTGCGAAGGCAGCAGAAAACTACTGTAAGCGTCAACGGCAACACGTCAGACGGCACGACACGCAATTCATTCATTCATTCGGCTTACGGCTCCTTCCACCATGTTGTACAACAGGCCACACACACCCACTACACACAGCCTCACGTCGGATGCCAGGCCTGCCTGCCCTGGCTGATTGATATAAACCCCGTTGTCACCGCCAGCTTCTGCGGCCACTTCTCGCGGCCCTTCCCACACACACCACACCAACCACACACACACACATACTCCCAACTCCTCGAGCCACTTCCCACCGGGCCCCCCTCCTGCTTCTGTCCTGCCGTCCTACCAACCAGCCTGGCCTCTTTCTGGGCCCCGCCCGACACTTGCAACCTCAACTCGCCCAGCGCCTTGTTCCGCCCGCCCGCCTGCCATCGCCGGCTGTGCCGCACAGCCCTTGGATTGGCCTCATGCCGGGCCACCAACCCGCCTTGACAGAGCCCTCTCGAGACCAGCTACGGCAGCCAGATGTCAGTCACGGGGCAGACACACGCCCTGAGCTGTGCAGTGCATTTACCTGATCTCATGGACGAGCCAACCGTTAGCGGCATTCCTCGATGCGACGTCAGGGTGTGAGTCCGACATTGGAATCCGTGGTGAGCCACAGCAGCACGCTCGCCCGGCCATCTCGACATCTCCTCTCCAGACAACGCCCATTTCAACCCAGGCGGGTGCCTTGCTCAGCCTCGTATGGGCCACAAACAACGACCTTTTACCTCGCAAAGTATTTTCTTCTGTTGACAAGGCCCAGCGCTTGCTCTCGCCTGGTCAACGGCAAACCGTTGCCTCCGTGGTACCTCGGCCTTTCCCGACCACAACCATCTTCATCGAGGAAACGTCGGGCTTGCTGCGTGCTACCATCCATCGGAAAGGGGCGTCTGACCCCGTTTGTGTCACACGAACCAACCAGCCGGTAGCTGCAACATTGCTGTGCCGTACCCATCTCCAAGCCGTCCGCGAAGGTTGCCTTAGGGGCCGGCAAGGCACCAATCGCCGCCGCTCTCCTCCCATCATCTCGTAACATCTTCGTGCGCCTCGTCCCTTTCCCCCAAGCTGCTCGTCAGCTCCGAGCTAGCTGTGCCTCTCTCCAGCATGGTTGTAGGGCTGCACATCGTATATCGACACCCAGTCGTGAAGTACATGGAGTACACCTTGCTTTCACCAGGTCTGTTCCTCTCATCTCGTTCAATCTCTGACTCTCCGTGAGCGACCAACCCTGTGAGCGTGCCAACAACCCCTTTCAACTCGCAGGCAGCGCCTGGGCCAGTAGGGTCACCTTGGTCAGCCGTTGCTCGGCCCAGGTGAGCGAGTAGGTTGTGTGGGGGCAAGGGAGCTACGTCCCGGAGGGCCATCGTCGCCACCGGATTGGATGCCCTTGCGAGCATGCACCCAGGGGTAGGCGAACGAGTAATCTTCCATTGTTCCATTGTCTCAGCCCTACGAGATCTATCCGCGGCCCGGGCAATTCTGTGCGACCCAATCACCTTGCCGAACCCTGTGCCGAAGTTGTCCATGTCATCTGCGCATACACTCTACGGTGCCCGGTCGGTCCCCTTGCGAACTGCATAGTGCGTCGATCACCCATGCAGTCATGTCGTGAGTGACCGAATCGAACTGCTGGAATGCATCTTCTCTGTGCGCTTGTGGGTACTTCTGCTGCCGGACAGCCCCCAGGTCCCGGGACACCAGGCTGAGACTCGCTGCCTACATAATGGACAGCTGAGGGGATTAGTTGCACTCGGTGATCACCATGCAAAGTTTCAGAAAGCATGTGTCACCGGTCAGCACGGGCAATTTCCATCGACACGGTCGCCAAGGACTAAAACAGGGAACGAGCAGTGACCAGAATTAGAGTTCACCCCAGCACACGCATGGAGCAGACCTGTAGAGCAATCAGTGACACCACGAGCTTGACGCGATATTCGTACTGAGCAAATGGGCGACCTGTGCCCTACGCTCGAAAACAACACACCTCCCGATGCCTATTTGATTGATTGGGCAAGACTGACTGATGCACGACAGATTACAAGTCTTTGGGGCACAGCGGGCCATTCCAGGACGTGACCGCGTTTCGAGAACTTCAACCTCGTCGTTTACAGAGTAGTGGATGTATGTATGTATTTTTTATGCAGTAATAATAACGTATCTTCCATTGTGGAAGGATAGCCATGCTATGAACGTGGCATAATTGCTTGCGCATGCTCTCTTGGGCACTCCGCAAAGCCTGCCAGATTCAGTTTCCGGACTTTGGGTTCTCACGCAGAGCTCCCCAGCGTTGCTCAAGTGCCACTTCCTCAGATCCTCTCGGTGAATGTCAACGGGCAATCATCCTGAATTGTTTATTGTCAGCTGTGCACTTCTCGCTCTCCAAGGCTTTCCACCACCGTCTTGACGTCTTACCTTGGGAAATATGGTTGCAAACACCTTGATCTCCTCTGATAGCGGCGTCGGGTGGTGTGTCCAGTCAAGTAGCAACGACGCCTTTCCAAGCAAGAGCGCGAGATTGAGCTGCGCATAGTGCTGCCCAATGCAGACATGTGGGCCGGTGCCGAAGACGAGAAAGTTCTTTGCACCTTTGACCTCTGCGTCGCCAGTATAGTAGCGCTCCGGGTCGAACTCATCTGGGTTCTCGTAGACGTCTGGATCTCGAAGGGCGAGGTAGGTTGTGGGGACTACCATAGCACCTAGATGGGATATTGCCATTAGCTTTCTATCTGGCGTGTGCCACCATGGTGGTGCTCAGACTCAAGTGATTCAAGATGGGCTCTAAATTAGCAGCTAAGTAAATGTTTACCTTTAGGAATGGTATATATATTTATAATTAAGAAAGGCTTTTTAACTTTATAAGGCATTATAATTATAAGTAGCTAATACCTTAAAAGCTTTCTTATAATTGCTTAAGTATAAGTAATTAATTTAAGCTAGTTTATAGATTTTTTTTTTCTTTAAATTAAAGAAAGAATTAAAGAATAAAAATAAAAATAAGAGTATAAATATATAAATATATAAATATATAAATATATAAATATATAAATATATAAATATATAAATATATAAATATATAAATATATAAATATATAAATATATAAATATATAAATATATAAATATATAAATATATAAATATATAAATATATAAATATATAAATATATAAATATATAAATATATAAATATATAAATATATAAATATGTGAATATGTAAATGTGTGAATGTGTATGTATTTCTCTCTCTCTCTTTTTCTCTCTCTTTTTCTCTCTTTCTTTCTCAGTATGTATATGTGAGTGGGACCCCAGACTTAAGTGATTTAAGATAGGCTTTAAATTAGCAGCTAAGTAAATGTTTATCTTTAGGAATGGTATATATATTTATAATTAGGAAAAGCTTTTTAACTTTATAAGGCATTATAATTATAAGTAGCTAATACCTTAAAAGCTTTCTTATAATTGCTTAAGTATAGGTAATTAATTTAAGCTAGTTTATAAATTTTTTTCTTCTTTAAGTTAAAGAGAGAATTAGAAAGTAAAAGTAAAAGTAAGAGTATAAATATATAAATATATAAATGTGTGAATATGTGAATATGTGAATATGTGAATGTGTGTCTCTCTCTCTCTCTCTCTCTCTCTCGGTGTGTGTGTGTGAGTGGGATCCGGCGGTCTAAAATCAACTAACCTAGGTCAACCGCAGCATGAATGTCTCCTTGACGGACTTTCAGGTTCTCTTCACGTACTCTGTCTAAAATCTGTTTCAAAACTGTCAGAATGCTCCTCGGTAAACTGTCAGAATGCTCCTCGGTAAACTGTCAGAATGCTCCTCGGTAACAATTTGGCCCAGGTAATATCTGAGAGCGAGAGAGAAGACACAATTTCCTCGACAAGTAATTTTTCCGCACGTACCTCTGGTCTCTGTGCCACGGTCTGGAATAGCCAGATAGACGCGCTGCTTGTCGCATCCTGCGAGGCGAACAAAAACGTAAATATGGTTTGGGCGATTTCGTAGTCGGTAAACTCCCTCAGAAGTGGCGACGGCTTCTCGAGGCCCTCAGTGTCCGTGAAGTCACCTGTCGCCTCAGCCTCACGCCACTTCTTCGAAAGCACCATGTTTCGAATCCACGCGTCCATAATACAGCTCGGTTCCTCCCCAGCTTCCATACGCTGTTTGCTCTGGGCAGAGGCCTTGGAGAACTCCACCATGACCATGTCGCTGGCCTTCTTGCCGTACCATGCCTTAGTGAAGGGAATTATGATAGGGAAGTTTACAAGCTCGAGAGCAGCTGTGATCAGGTAATAGTCATCGGCAATTTTCTTTACGGTCTCGTCGGACACGTGATGGCCACAGAACGTCCGAAGTGATACCGCGCACATCAGCTCGCGGAATTCATGCATGAATGGCACGGGCTTGTCGCCGGCGTCCTATATCCCGTGTCAGCTTTCTGCTTCATAAGGTAACCGGCACAGATATCAGGTCTTATCAAGGGACCTCTTCCGAGCACTTGGGGGATGGATATGTCCTCGTTAAAATGCGCACCTTAGTGACCTGGAGAAAACGCTTGAAGTAATCGTAATATACTTCCTCTTGACCGGGTAGATAAGACTGAAGCGCCTTTCTAGTGAATAGACCATTTAACCCTTTCCGGTAGTCAATGTGGGCTTTTCCATCCAGGAAGACCCAGTTGTCAGACCCTAACAATTTATGTGCTACGTCGACGACGCAAGGCTTCACATAGGCGGGAGAATTAAACACTCTCCTTGCCATGTCACGGGTGGAGGCGATGACGACAAATCTGAGCCGACATCTTAGTCAATTCAATTCCTTATACGAGAGGCCATGAAAGATTTAGTACTTGTGGAAGACGGAGACACAGCTGAGAGGACCGCTGAGCCATTTTGCGTAGTACTCCTCAAACTTTGGATTGATGGATTGCAGAAAAGGTCCCATCAAGGGCTTCTTGAAGACCGGGCCCACGATGCTACCCTTGTTCAGTATGTATCTGACTATACAACAATTGCTACCAGTCAGCTAAATGTCAACCTTTGCCGGAAGAACAGGGCTCACTCTGATCATAGGCAACAATGGCTGCTAGAACAGCAACAGTGAAAGTCCACGGGCTCGCATTGGCGAAGAGGTCGGCGAGGTACTTGATCTGGGAAGGCATCGACTGCGGGTTGTAGTCATGCCCAACGCCGGCTGCGGGCGACGCCATGATGGTTGCATTGGTCTCCATGGTAGCCAATTGTTGGACCACGAGGAGTCTGGAGGAGACGGCGGATGATGGTGAGGACGTTGTCGTGTTTCCCACTCGGGTGCCCAGGAGCGACAAGAAGCGTGGCTGGGCCAAGAGACAGGATTTGCGAAAAACAAGCAAGCGGGTGTCAGCAACGAGATTCCGAAGGCGGCCACCCCCTCTCGCCCCCGTGAGACCAGACCTGTCACGCCGATAAGCCGGGGGCATTCCGGCCGAGAAACCCGCGCATGCCTATTCAGAATAGGCTTAAATGATTTCCCCTTGCGTACCGATACATGAGCCCAAGCACTCTCACCGAGTTTCGCCGCGTACCTGCATGCTCTAGCTCGACCGAGAAGGGGAGGTCTTCCGGGGCTGTCAGCCGCGGGGTTGAGCCGGTGTGGCTGGATTTTTCTAGAGTTGGGACCAACACCGTCATCATGTTTTATGAGATCATTCATCAGTGGTCGAGGTTTGGGAAGAAGCATCCACCCGCACCCATCACAACCGGCTACCTGATCAATATGGTAGTCCAGGTGCTGGACGGAAAGGAGAGGCGCCGGTCGAGTATTTCAGTCAATCAGGTCGAGCTTGTCAAGGCCACAGATATTCAGTCCTGGCAACAGCAACACCTTAGATGCTATATCTCACCGGATATAACGAGTTCCTTAGTTGTGTGGAGATTTCCCGGGTGCTCTTCAGGGAATTTGCAAGCTTATTTGCGGCGTCGCCTCTGATTAGCCGTTGGAAAGTCTTGGGACTCGGCGCGCAGAGGCGATATAATGCGGCACAGGATATAATGCAGCCTATCATGTCTTCGCCGATTTATAATAAAAAGAAATATTAATTTATATAATACTCCTTAATAATAATAATAAGGATATTATTAAATAACCTTTGCTATATAGTATATTATATTTATATATATAATTATGTAATTTTATATAACGTAATTTATTAATAAGTGGTTTTTATTAATAAGTAATTTTTTAACAAGGTTTATAAACTTTTATTAACCTTAATATTAACTTTATGCAAAGGATTTAATAAAAGTTAATATTAATATATGTTAATTATATTAAACTCCTTATTTTTAATTAAATTTATTAATTTAAAGATATAAATATAAATATAATATTAATTTAAATTAATTAACTTTTAATATAAAATATATATTTAATATTAAATAATATTAATTATATTATTAAAAACATAATTTATTATAAACTATAAAAATATATAATATAGTTTATTAATAAGTAAGATATATTAATAAATAAAATACGTTTCTAACTTTACTTAACTTTAACCAACCCTAGCACCACCTTAAAGCTAATAAATAAATAAAAAGTTAGCATTAATTAATGTTAACTGCTTTTAATTCCTTATTTTTAATTAATTTCGTTAATTTAAAGTAATTAATATAAATTTAATTCCATATTTTTAATTAATTTCGTTAATTTAAAGTAATTAATATAAATATAATATAAGTTTAAGATAAGCAACTTTTAATAAAAAACTTATATTTTATATTAAATAATATTAATTATATTATTAAAAATGTAATTTATTATAAATTATTAAAATAAATATATTTATCTTAATTAATATTAATTGCTTTTAATTTCTTATTTTTAATTAATTTTATTAATTTAAAGTAATTAATATAAATATAATATAAGTTTAAAATAAGTAACTTTTTATAAAAAACTTATATTTTATATTAAATAATGCTAATTATATTATTAAAAATATAATTCATTATAAATTATTAAAATAAATAACTTAATTTACCATTAAGTGGCAGATATTATTAAATAGCGAATTTTTCTAACTTTATTTAACTTTTATTAATTATAACATTATATTAAGGTAAATAAATTAATAAAAAGTTGGCATTAATTAATGTTAATTGCATTTAATTCCTTATTTTTAATTAATTTCGTTAATTTAAAGGGGCTAAAAGTAATGGAATATAATTAAAAATTATTGAGGTTTTAATAAAATAGGTTATTTTTAATATTAATTACATCCTTAATTTTTATATTAATTTTACATTAATTTACTTACTTAAATATTTAATGCATAAGAAATTAATAATAAAAACATATATCCTTTATTTAAAGAAAATAAAATATTCTTAGCTATTTAAGCTATTTAATACTTTAAAAAACATTATATTAAATCCCTGTTTATAGCTTAAGCTATTAAAATCTTTAAAATTCTTAAAATAACTTTATATTATAAAATAAATTAATAACGTAATTTTAAAAAATTATGCATTAAATAATATAAACTTAACTTAATTAAAAAGTAAATACTTATTTAATATATTATTAATTAAAATACTTAACAATTCCCTTTATAACTTTTTAATATAAAAGATATAGCTAACCTTTTGCTAATATTTTAAAATAGCAAGCTTATAAATAAGCATTAAGCTTAACGCTTTATAAATTTATAACTTAAAAATTAAATTTAACTATCTTTATAATTATTAAAGAGCCCTTTATAAAGATTTAAAAATTATTAAAAATTAATTTAAGCTTTTTTATAATATAATAGCTAAATATTAAATTATTAATAATAATCTTTATAACTTTAATAAAACTAGCTTTATAATAAATATAATTACCTTATTAATAATTATTATATATATTAATAAGCGTAAAAAGGTTAAGTTAATTTAGCTTAATAATTAAGAATAAGCAATTATTATTAAATGCATTAATATAAATAAGTTATAAATTTTATTATTTATAATTATTTAAAATGCTTATTACCTTATTAATTAAATAATAAAATTAAGTTTTTTAAATAATTAAATTATTAAGCTTATTCTTAATAAATAAATAAATAATAAAATTAATTTAAAATAAATTTAATATTTTAATAAGCATATTAAGCTAAAAAAAATATTAATTATTAAATATTAATTATAAATAATTATAAAAGCTATATATTAATTAAGTTTAATTAATATTGCAAGGATAATAAGATTATTATTATTAATATATTATTATATTTATCTTACTTACTTTAGCTATTAAATATTACATTATATTTACTTTTAAAATATATATATAATAATAAAATTAACTTCTTTATTTAAGCTTTAATTAATTATATTACTAAGTTTAAGTTCTTTTTTATATTTAAAGCAACTTATAATAAAACTTTTATATAAAAAATATTAAGTTTATATTTAAAGAAGCTGGAATTTTTCCTTAAAACTTTAATTTTGTAATTTCTAAGCTTAATATTTATTTATAAACTTTAATATAATTCCTTTTTATTTTTCTTTAAAAATAAAAGCTTTAAATATTATTAAATGCTTAATAAATTATTTAATAATTAAGTTTTATTAAGGGCAAGATCTTTACTTATTAAGAAAGCTTCTTTATATTAATTATAAAGGCTATTAATTAATTAATAAAAAAAATATAAGTAATAATATACTTACTTATTATAATAAGTAAGTAAATTTATATGCTTTAAGATATTAATATAATATTTATTAAACGCTAAAGGGCTAAAAAAACCTAAATATAGCTTTAAAAAGTATTTATAATTAAGGAATCTTAAGCTTTTATTTAAGAGAAATAAAAGGCAAAGCAATTAACTAGTAAAATAAGTAATAAAATAAAAAAGTTAATTTATAGCGAATTAATTAAAAGACGCTATAGCAATTATAATAAAACTAAGCATAATGTAAAAACTTATAAAAAAGATAAAAAAGGGTTTAATTAATTAAATTCCAATTATATTATAATAAATCCAGCTTAATTAACATTAATTAATATAAATATAATTATTTTATTAATTTATAGCAAATTGCATTTTTAATAATATAATTAACATTAATTAATGCTAAATGTATATTTCTTATTAAAAGTTAATTAATTTAAATTAATATTATATTTATGCTAACGCTTTTAAATTCATAAAATTAATTAAAAATAAGAAATTAAATATAATTAATATTAATTAATGCTAACTTTTTATTAATTTAGTTGCGTGGCGCACTGGTTATGCACTTAGCTTCTCTTTATAAAAAGCGTAGGTTTAAACCCTGCTATGGCCGTTAAAACCTTTTTTAAGAATTTTCCCCTTAACTACGCTATAGCAAATTGCAGCCTGCTTACTTATAACCCCCTTAGCTAAAAAAAGGGCCTATGCTTAAGGCCTTAAAAACTTTATTAAAGCTAATAAAAATAAGCACTTAAAGAAAGCTTTAAGCCCTTAAAATCTTAAGCTAATAACGCTTTAAAATATACCTTATAATAAGGCCCTTTTATAAAGGGCCTTTAAATTAATTAATAAATAAGCCTTATTATAAGCCTTAATTAGCTTTATTAAAAGCCTTATATTAGCAAAGGCAGCTTTATAACCCTATATTAAAGCAGCTGTAGCCCTTAATAAGAAAGTAATAACCCTTTATTAAATAATTATAAAGGATTTATTTATAAAAAGCAGCCCTTATTAAGATTAAAATTAAAAAAAAGGATTATTAAGAAAAAGGAGTAAGGAA